CACCCCCTCCCTTCACCCGCCCCTTCCATCACAACAGACTTACCAGCTGGACACCGCTCTGCAAGCTGCCAGGCTGCGTATTGGAATTCGGATCAGTATTAGCTGATATGCCGCCTTAAAAATCGGCTATCGGTATCAGCGCCAAAAATTTCTATCGGTGCACCCTTAGTTACAAGGGGACATAAGGAAAAAATGGAATGTAAAACAAAGATATTCTTTACCCTACAGACCATGTACAATACCCTCCACCTTTCCTCACTCACTTCATCCTCAAGAGCCCTCTGTCATAGCAGTCACAGCAACTCTGACTGAGGAGTGCTGTGAAAAATGAGTCAACAGTCTGCTTGCACTGGTCACAGACAGAGACCAAAGATCTCAGCTCTTATTGTCTGGTTCATATCTAAAATTGGATCCCCTGTGCTGCCCCTTTGCAGGATTTCTAAGCTCTTTTATGTTGGTGTGAAATATTTTAACAGGGTGGTAAGGCTTCCTGTCTCTGACACAGGAGGCTACATGATTGAAGATCATGGCTGACACCAGTTTCATGGAAGGTGGAGCACACTGTGGCTAAAGTTAAATTTTTCTTTTGTTATGACCCATTCAGCCAACGGACTGCTGCTTAGAGGAATCAGTTAGATCAAGATCATTGTTACTTAAGTGAAGTCCATAGACCTTCAGCCTTCTTCCACAGAATGTAGACATGTCAGTCATGTACGTGTCTTTATTTATCCAACATACAGGAAACATCCAAAGAATAGATCATATTATCCAAACACTGAGACTTTGTCTAATGCTTCCTTCACAACTAGGCAGGGCTCTTGCTTTGAATGGCAGCCTTTTGTTAACTGTTCACGTAAGATATCATTTTGTGCCCCCTCTGTCAACTGTTTTTTTCAGTAGCCATTACATCAGCCTTCCAGGTATTGGAGTGAAGAGCTTTTTCCATAGAGCACCAGTATAGTGTTTTTCATTAAAAAAAAAAAAAGTAGTAGTGGTTCTTGGGTCAACGGCAGTGTTCATTCCTAAGGAATCAGAAAATAACATGACAGGCATCATTTGAGCCTCAGGTGCCTAGGGGTCCAAAGAGAAACTTCCCCACCACACTGATGCAGTTTCCTTAGTGGCGTATGTAACCCCAAACCACTCTCTCAGCATATCACATCCTCATTCTGCCCTTTTCTTTTTTATTCTGGATTCTGTTCTGCTTTAAAAACAACAAAACCAAACCCCAGTTTTTCAGTGCCCAGGCTATTGCAGACATCATTTGAACCTCAGGTGCCTTGGGGTCCAAAGGGAAGCCTGCTTTCACTAACTGTAATATAGTATTGTCTTGATCTAGGATTCGCATACTTCCTTTCAATTCAGTGTAAGTGTTCTTTATCAGCTGGTAAAAAAATTACCTTAGTAGACTTCACCAGGCAAAATATAGTCAGTAATATAAATGAGTCTTCAGAGACTCAGTCCTGTATTATTTGTTCTGCAGGTGGGACAAAGCCCAGCTCAGTTACTTCGCCATCAGAAAGCATGCCAGCTATCTATCCAGAGATAGGACTGAGCACCCCTGCCAAGTACCATTTATCTTATTACTCTTTTCCCTCAAATCCTGTTGGAAGTTCTTTTGGAACAGGAGGGAACTTTTCGTACAGGAGGGGACCAAGATATTGGTTAAAGTCCCTACATGGAGCCACTTAGAGCTGATATCAAAGCCACAAGAACTCAAGAGGAGGTTCTCTAGCTGAATTGAAAGTCCTGTACCATGTCTTTTGGATTGGTGGGAATATTAAATCAATACTATTCTACCAAAGTCCAAAAGCTCTAAAAGCAATGAGACATTCAGAGAGTCGGCAAAAAATTATTAAAGATACAGAGAGACTTCTGCATGAAGACAGATGGGAGAGTTTGAGACAGTTTAGAGAGGAAAACTTTAAGAAGGGACTTAAAACCTCTTATAGATACAGAGGAGGTAAATCCTGCATTCCTTTTTGTGTTTTCTTACAAGACAAGGAAGAGGGGAAAGTTCTGAAAGGGGGGTAAGAGGGAGCAAATTTGAAACTGATGCTTTAAGCAACGCATAATTAGCCTGTAGAACTAATTGCCACTAGATATTAAGCACTTAGTACAACTTTTAAAGGGTTTAAACACACACACACATTGAAAAAAATCGCACTATACAGGATTTAAAAGATAGATGTTATAAACTCTTATGCTTTAGGGAATAAACTAACCTCTAATTTCTAGGATTAGAGGTGCACTGGAGCACCCTTGTGTCCCATCCAGCCTCTCCACAGCATGTTGAGCTGTCCTGGGTGCCTGTGTAAATGTGGCGCCCAGGATCAATAAACTGACGTAATATGTACCAGAGTTTATTGCTTTAAATTAATTGCACATGTAGACACAACCAGTAGCTGTGTCTACATGAGATGCTGACTGCCCAGTAACTCGTTACTGCTGCGCAGTAGCATCACATGGCACGTCACATGGCACGAAGCAGTAGTGATGAGCTACTACACAGTCAGCGTCATGTAAAGCCATTTGGCAACACTACTGTGCAGTAACTCTGAGTCATTTAGTACTTGTGTATGCATGTAGACATGGCCAGTGAGTAACAAATATACTGTGGTCCTACATCCTGACTTCCAATTCCTGTTATAGGTGATTTCCAGTTTCCATGTCAGTCAGGCCATTACCTTGCCAGAAGTATTCCTCAAGCCTTAATCCTATTAAGGGAGTTCTGGTTTCATATTGGCTTCAACTTTTAGGTATCTAGAGTGTCTCAACAGGGGGTTTATGGGTCCCAGCACATGGTATCTGTAAATTCCTTTGGCTTTAGAATGTATCAGTAAAAGAGTAAGTCTCGCTCCCCCTCAGGCCAGCTCATCTCAAATTAGGTATGCGCAGTTATTATTACCTTGCAGATGACAGCCACTGTGGGATATCAGAGCGCTTGCAGAGGTCTAAGGAACTTCCTCTTTTTCGCATTGTTCATCACTGATATGCAATACACCCTCTCAGAGTTCTGTACACTCCAGCGCTCCCAAAACATCTCCTCTAGATCTGATCCAAACTCAGGAAACAGGCTGATAATCATTTTCTCATTCCCTCCTCCAGGAGGGTCATTACCGCTTGTTAACCACCTCTAAGGTGGTGAAAGAATGAAAGCAATTCTCAAAGGAGGAAAAAGGACCTGTTACTACAATAACTGTGGTTCATTAATATGACTATAGCAGTCTATATGGCAAGCCTGCACTGCCTGCCTTTGCTGTCTGTAGGGCAATTCCTAAAAAGGACTGGGAAGCAAATAGGTTTGCATTCTTTGTTTATACCACCAGAACCCAGAAACAGCAGGCCCTGTTTTAAAGAAAAAGCAGCTTGTTCACGAAGGAGTGCTAATAATGAGATTTATCAATTCAGAGAGGCAGTCATCTGGAGAGCAGTTATTGCTATGGCAAATAAGTTTTTTTACCTGTTCTACTTTTCCAGAAAGCTAACAAATACCATTTTTAAGAAATTACATTTTCACATAAGGCAAAAATATTAACGGGTTCTGGGTCTGATGTTTGTGGGATAATTAACAGTAAAGAGGTGTTTTCTTTCTCTCTCTTCCTACTTCTCTTTCACTCGTGATGAGTCACAGCTGACCTTCCAATATACAGGAACTGATTGAGTCAGTATATTCAGGTATCTCACATTTATCTCTCATAACCCCTTGCCTTTTATAGTTTCAGCTATAAAGGCAGGGTGCTTCCTTCTAAATATCAAGACATGACATCTTATTGCTGTGATTGTAAAGGAAGTTGTTTCTCTTAAATACTAATCTTGCTTTGAATGGAAGTTAAAATATTTCCTGTGCTTTTAAAGTTAGGTTAGTTTGAACTCTTTGGAGGTTTATGATGCATTTGGTGTTATAATTACAGTTCAGATTTCTTCTTAATTAATTAATGGGGCTAAGAATACATTTGGCATGATAGAATAGTGTCCCAGATGAAAATGTAAACTATTTCCTCTGCTACAGCAGTGAGAGGGTTAAGAAGGCTGGGCCAGAGTTTCGGTCACAGTAAGCTCCCTAAGGTATTTTGCCATTTCCCCCAGCCCAACCCTGTAAGGTAAACAGCAAGGTGCAGTAAGTGATATCGCTCTGTGCAGAGTTCAGCCTTGTTGCTCACAGCTTGCACAACTTGTAGCACACCAGAACACTGTGGAATCAATGGCTCACCAGAGTTTCAAGACATGATTAAAAGACTCAAGAAGGCCCTGAGAGAATTTCCTTTAATGGGGAATTGTGTGAGTGAGTATAGTGGGTGAGTTCATTTTTTTTCTCTTTTTTTTTTTTTTTTTTTCCTTTCTCTCTAGCTGTTGATTTACTTTGTTTGGCCAAATGCTTCTGTACTTAGATATAGTATATGTGCATGCATGTGTCTAGGGTTGGGAATGACACTGTTCTGTATCTCACCGATCAATACTAAAATTGTTTTATGAGATATGAGAATTCTTGTTACATGGTAGTATCAGAAAAGCAAAGCTATTAGAGACAATTTCTTTGGGAAGAAAAAAATTATTGGAGAAGTGTGTGCAGGTATGTATAAGCTCTTTGCATGTAGGATAACCTCAAGTCTTTAAAACTATTTATTTAGGTTTTAAGAGCTTTTCTGCTTCTTTGATTTAATGTGTTTTAATTTGAGATGCCTTAGGTTATTCTTTAGTGTGGTATGTAACATGCTGTCAGCACCCCTCCCATGCATGTGAACAAAAAGATTGATCAACAATTCTGATACTAAGTGATTTAAAGTTGCAGCTTTTTGAAACTTGCTATTTTGTCTCTATTTTACTAACATGTTTTGATGGCTTTTGTTCGTATAAGGCTGCATTCAAAATTCCACTAGTGTGAAAATGGAAACAGCATGTGCATACGGTACATGAAATCTTGCATTATGCAAAATACAGGCATGTTTAGGCTTTTGTAGTCTGGATTTTAGATTGCTTAAAATCTGCATTTTTTTGCTCTCTGGCCTGTCAGTTTTGTGGGTAGGCACAGAAAGACATTTCTGCAATTTATGACAGGTCTCCAAAGGCAAAATTCTCCCTTGTGATATGTAAATACACATTACAAGCTCCTTTGGAAAATCAGATGCCGTGCCTGTTTTCACAAGCACAGTGTTGGAGGTTTAAAAGATACAGACTCATGTGTTCTTCTTAGCCAAAGTCAGGGATGAGCTTGAGGTTTTCATTTTAAAAGTTACAATGTTGTACAAATGTAGGACTTGATCCTAGGCGGTGGAGAGCCTTTCCTGTAGGCAGCAGTTAATTGGTAAACCTGGGCATATTACTTATTTTTTGCTAAATGGTTTGCAGCATTTTTAAGCTTTAAGCAGTAAATACAGGCCTGTTAAATGAGTAAATATTTGATTTTTCACAGTTTTACCCTTGTTTAAATCTGTCAGTCTTCACAGTTTGCTTAAGGACTGCTGCTAGTCCTCAGAGACTTAATTGGTTTGATGCATAAATGCCTGGGTTTTAATTCTTAGACTATTTTATATAGATGACTGTAAGGAGATAAGATACCAGATTAAATGGACTATTGGTCTGTTTTCCAAAGGGTAATAATTCCATATTGTTGCCAAGCATGTAACTATAGCTATATAGCTATAGAGATGTATTATTCCCTAGGAAGTTAAGGCTACAGTCATGGTAATGTATAATTGCCATTGAAGCAAAATCTTTGATAAAAATGCCTTCATCCTGGGTGCTGTCCAGTGAATGCCACAGATGTCACATGATACAGTATTGTACCAAAACACATTACATGTATTGACTATACTTGATTGAGTAGCATCCTGTGACCCTTTGCTATTTTGCAAAATTAAATGCCTGCTAAACAAGAAAAAACCTCGCTAGAAAAGTAATTGTGAAAAATGTAAAGAGATAAAAGGGATGCATTTTTGTTTCCATTTCCCAATTCATTGCTTTATACTAAACACGTCACTGTGTTTTGTTAGTAGGGTAAGGCACATAGCTTTGGTCTCCAGATGAATATTGTTTTGTTTGTTTCAGTCAAGTGCCAGAGAAGACCACAGTGGAAGATCTGTCCCCTCGTATTCCAAGAGCTGTGTTCGTGAAGCAGGACAATGGAGGTAGTGCCTCAGTCATACCAGTGTCACCTCCCCATGCCCCACAAGGAGGGGAAGAAAAGGAGGAAGCTTCAGATTCTTCTGACCTGAGCCCTTGTAGTGCAACATATAGCAACTTAGGTAAGTGCATTTACGTTATTGCTTCTCCCGCCATCGCATTCAAATGACTGTCGTATTGCAAGGAGTATTGTCTCCTAGCTCACTTCCTACTTGCATAGAAATAGAAGTTTTAAAGGGATGCTGACCCCAAGCTCACCTAGTTTTTAATATGAACTTGCTCTTAGTTGAAAATAAGAGGCTACTTTCTCATTCCTTCTGAGCAACCCTACAGAAAGGAACCAGTAATAAAATATTAATTTACTGTTCACTAAAGATTTCAATATTATTGTAATCCGTTTAAAGCTATGGGGGGAATTATTATTTTGCAAATTAAGAAAAAAATAGCCTTTTTGTTCTCTCTTAAATGTGAACAAATGCCAAACGTATCTTTTGAGGAAGCCATTTTTTCCATTTTCTTGTATTGTCAAACTCATTTTACCAAAGAAAAGGTTTAAAGTAACTGTCAAATAAATTATATAGCTGTTTTAGAAACATTAGAATTATAATATTTTTCCTGATATCCATAGTGAAATGTAATGATTTTTCTCTTACTGTATGGATAAAAATTCCTGAACTATTTTAAAACATCTTGTTGAATGGAAATATATTTGAATTTGATCCTAAAAAAGTTGGCAATTTTCTTTTAACCTTGCAAGCCAATTTTAAAAATGAATGTTTCTGAAAAAGGTGTTGCACTATACACCAAACCATCCATGAACTCCTGTTCCATAATGGGGCTGTGGTTGAGTGGGGTTTTGTGTGAGGGATTTTTGAGAAGACAAGGGTAGGAAATTTAAATAATCTCTTCTCAACAAGTGATACCAATATAGCAGACGTAAGAGACTTCTTAAAAGGTTTTTGACATAAAATACTGGGAATAGTGAAATAGAATTTCTAATAAAACAAAACCAGACCAGTGTTGCAGTTGCATTTTTTTTGAAGATTATATAATTTTAAATACAATATTGAATTATTTTCATTGAGACACAAATTCTGCAATTACTTAAGCACATTTCACTTTTTGTACGATTAGATTAATCGACAGCAAGGGGGCTGTTCCCAAACATAGAGTTAAGCATGTCACCACATTGTGGTATGATCAAAGACTAATTTTTAAGCTTTCAGATTTTTAAATTCCATAGGTGTTTAGGAAAATGGCAGACAAATGGTTGACTCAGTTCCACAAATGAAGTATGAATTAGTTATTTTTCATATAGCACTTGGGAGATGAAAAACATGAGGACTGATATTTACTTATTATTAGTGTAACACATGCTGTGACAGAGGAAGGGACACTCAGACACTACCATGGCGTTGTTCAAAGACACAATGTTGTTTCCATCACTGTTCTTTTATAGATCAGGGTGCAGGTACACTGTTCATATAAACAGTCTAGTACATTTAGTTATGTAGGTTGTCTGCTGACGTGACTATGCTGCAGATACAATTTGGAATGTGGATAGGACTTTGCCATGTTCCAGTCATATCCTCTAATCAGGTTAGCATGTGCTCCGGTGAGGCTGTTTGAAGTACCTCAAGGCACAGCATACCTCTTTTTCATCATTCAGCCTTTAGCATTCAAGCCATTTGAAGGACTGGTTACATTTAGGGTGCAGACACACACAACACCTAAACCATTTCAGGAATGTCGCCAATTGGGAGCTGGTTCATTGTCATGGTTCAGAGGTTCTCAGTAGAGTGCTCACCGTTTTAGGCACTGCAATGCTCTTGAACTGCCACCAGGGGGTGGGAATAGGTACCCAGCCCAGCATGCCTTACAGTGGCCAATTCCCTTAGGATTTCCCTAGTGAGAAGGGAAGACACCAACTGGCAGCATGAGGTGGGAACAGCATGCTGCCTGAATCCCTGATTCTGTGTTTCCAGGTAACTGGGTAATCCAGTGGTTGCCCAAGGTCTCTGCCTCAGGCTGCAGCTTGAAAAAGACTCTCCCTAGAAAGCCATTTAATTCACTGGGGGCCAGCCTTTTATCAGGTGTGCCACAAATTAGCCCTACGTCCTTCCTAAGTGTCACGCCAGTCTCTTTCCCCTGGCTAATCTGATGCTCTGCTTCCTGCCATATATGCCTCTGTGCTGCTTGTTCCCTCCCTGATCTGTCGCATGCCATTTGCAGCACGTACGCCATAGATTGGTCCCCCCAGCTTACTTAAGTTCAGTTCCCCAGTCCCTCCCCAACCCTGCCCCAGGTTGGTTGGTAGGTGGGTGGGTATGCCTTTAATGGTAAACCTTCATGAATTATTTGGTGAGGGAAAACTGAGCCACTGCACAGTTGGCACTTAATACCACAGAATGGCTTTCAATTACATGTTTGGTCAATGTGAACTGACCCATTAATTGGTAATTGTTAGGGCTGTGCGAAGTTTCGGGTGCTGATTCAATTTGGAAGATTTGGTGGCTGAATCTTTGAATCTGAATCAAATCAGGGGACCAGTTAAAAGGTCTGAATTGATTTCAAGCTCTCTGAATCAATTTGGAAAAGATTCGGAGAGCTTTGGTGATTTGGGCAGTCCCCACTCGCTGCAGCAGGGAGCTGGACTTGGACTCCATGCTGGTAAGTAAGGGGATGGGGGAGGGGAGGAGGGAGGGGACCATGGGGGGACCCCTGCCAGACCCCATCCCCCCAGCTGCTCCCCTAACTCCCCACCATGGCTGCTCCACCTGGCCCCAGCTCCTGGTTATTTAAAAAAAAAAAAAAAAAGCCCCTGCTCACCAGGTGCTGCCAGGGGAGGTGGGTGATTACCCACTGCCCCCCACTGCATGGGGGGCTCTGCCACAAGCCCCCTGACCCCTGTCTGCTCTCCAGCCCCCCCCCTTCCATGGCTGTCTCGCCCACCCTAGCTCCCAGCCCTTTTTAAAAGAAAACAGCCCCACACTCATTGACTGCTGCAGCAGCCTCAGGTCTTCTGGGGGCTCATGGTAAGGCCCCCCGTGGAGCATGGGGCAATGTGGGGCAGCAGGGATCACCCCCACACTGAGCAGGAGCCGGTGAGCCCGAGGTTTTTTGTTTCTTTTTTAAGGGCCAGGAGCTTGGGTCGGGGGGGCTCGTGGCAGAGCCCTCTCCCACGTGGCATGAGGCAGCGGGGCTCGCCCCCTGCTGGGCAGGAACTGGTGAGTGCGGGCTTTTTTTTTTCAGAGCCGGAGCTGGGGCAGGCGGGGCTGGGAGAGCAGGTGGGGGATGGGCCTGTGTGATTCAGAGACTTGGCTGATTTGGCAGCAGCCAAATCTCCGAATCAGATTCAGCTGAATTGATTCGGGACAGTGATTCAAATCACTGAATCAAATCACTTTCCCCCGAATCGGCCAAATCCAAATCTCACGTGAATACTAATCACTTCACACAGGCCTAGTAATTGTCCCTCACTTAGAAGCAGGGGCATCCCCGCCAGCCACCTGAGCAGTGAGAAGTACCCAAGCAGCAGGTTGCCATGCAGGGATTGAGGTGGGCGGACAGGGGGGAAAAGGAGGGGGGACGTGTGGGATGCCTGAAGGACCAACCAGACACTAGTCACTGAAAGCTTGGTGTCCACAAAAAACACTGAACTGGTTCATGGAGAACTGGTTCCAAATAATAAAACCTAATTATTGATGTATACTTTTGAAACTGTCAGGTCGCATTTAAAACAATCTAAGTGTTGTGTGTCTGCAACTCCTTGCAAATCATGATAGTACGAGTCTGCTTTGTTGAACTACTACACACATTTTTTTTCAAATTTCTCATGAAATATAGGAATATTGGTGCCAGTTACTTCAAATTATGGAGTAAGTATGTCTCAGGTTGCCGAGACTGACCCTTTCTACAGCGTCCCAGAAAAGGGAGAGGGAGTAGGCTCATGTGAAATGGGGTGATAGTATTTTCCTTCAGTCAATTTTCACTTTTCAATTTTCATAGTAACTTGTAACACACTGGTGGTATTCCTTAAAACCATGTAAAACGGAGTTGCTTAGTTTTTATTTGGAGCAGGTTCAATTTTTTGTTCTTGGCTGTCTTTCAGATTTTCAGTCACTGAGTAAATTAGGTTTCTAGGTGTGAAGGAGTTAGTTTTTAACTTTCAGATTTGGTTTGAGTTAGCAAGGCTTGAGGCCTGTTGTGAAAAAGCAGTGCTACCATAAATGGCATTAAATTTTCTGGCTCCTGTTCAAATCTTCTTTGTCGTTTTGTTCAAACAACCCTACCTACTAATTCTGAAGCTGATCAAGTAGTGGCTAAATCGGGGGACAGAATTTCTCTCTTTTTAGATTTCACCATAGACAGTATAGCACTATTACTGATTTTACACAGATAATAACTTGTATTAGTATGTCTGAATGGAAAGAACAAAAAAGGGAGAAGTACTTGAATACATTTGGCATATTGCCGTCTCCACTGATACTTAGGTCCATGGTTTGCTTTTTTAGAAAGCAATCTGAAATCTTAGTTTCAGACTGATACTGGATTGCTTATACCAGTGGATCGTAACAAACATTATTGACTAGTACACGGATGTAGTTATGGTAGGATTATTATACCTCTTAAACTTGTCCTTTTAAGTTCATCTCTTTCTCTCTTTCTTTAAGCTTGCCTAGTTAGCCCCCAAAATGAATTTGTACAGTGGATACAGCGTGGATGGTTTATTATCTGAGTTCCTAACTTACAAAACAAGGGCCAAATTCTGACTTCAGCAACATCAGAGTGAATCTCAAGTAACTGCATTGTTCTGTAGAGTTACTTCAGACTTATACTGAGGGAACTAATTACAGAATCTAGCCCATACTGCCTACTAGCTCTGGATTATTTTTGGCTCTTGTAAGTAGGACAATTTTAATTCAAAATGCCATCTTTAACAAGCTGACTCTTTAAACTGAACAAAGCCTTTCTGTTTACATAAATATAATATAACAGCTGGCAATTTACTAGAAAATAAGTTATCTACTACAAATGCATATTAATGTTTCACTTTGTAAACTTTTTCTTATAGGATTATAAGGTTTCTTTTTCCTTTCTGTTTAAAAAAGACTACCTCTTA